CCATTATAACAGATGAACAGTGGTGCCTTGTTGTGGTTGGCCCTGCCTTTCCCCAGTAGCTATTGCGTCCTCTTCTGCGTGATGATTGGCCATTTGCGTGTCTTCTTTGGGGATGTGCCTGTTTCAAACATGTGCTCATTTTTAAATTAGATTGACTGTCTTTCTATGGGTCAGTTTGTAAGTGTATGTTGTGTATGCTAGACCTTCAGCTGACCTCTCCTCTAATTCTATAGGTTGTCTTTTTATTTTATTAGTATTGGTGTATTTAAAACACAGGAGTTTTTAAATGTGATTCCTATTATGCCTAATTCATCTATGTTTTTCTTCTTTCTCGTGGGTATGATGGGTATGTCTGTGTATGCATGCTTGCCTGTGTGTAGGTGCACATACATATCAAGGCCTGAGGTTGATTACTTGGATTCTGAGTCACCTAACACAAGGATTGTGAATGCTCAAGAGACATTGAGCTGGTAGATGGGGTATAACAAATTGTTCGTGGGAGGAATATATGGAACATGCCTGAGACAGAGGAGCATCATTTATGGCCTTCAGCCCATTTGCTAGAATTCAACCACAGGGGCCAGCAGAGAGGATGGAGAATGTAGTTTGGTTTACATCCAGGACTAAAGGGAAAGGCCTGGCCACCAAGTATCCACTCTGTGCCATCTTAAGTTTTGCTGCTGAGCTGTTCTATTTTGTGGATTTCTTATCTTGAAGCCATAGGTGTTCACTCCAGTGTAAGATACAAGAAGATCCCCCACCTGTGATATTCTTACTTTAAAGTTTGTCTTGGTGGGCCTGGAGAGACAGCTCAGCAGTTAGAGCACTGGCTGCTATTGCAGAGGACTTGGTTCAGTTCCCAGCACCCACATGGTGGCTTACAAATACCTTCAACCCCAGTTCCAGGGGATCCAATGCCCTCTGCTGGCCTCCAAGAGCACAGCATGCAAAACACCCATCCACAAAAAAGGAAAAATAAATATGATCTTTAAAAAAAATTTTTTTTCTTGCCTAGGCTTGGTCCATTATTTGTTCACAGAGATTCTCGACTCTGTGAAGCTCTATGAAGAAATGGGTCAAGTTTTAATGAGAAACCAATTATTGTTGAAAATATGTAGCCAACAAAAGATTGCTCTCTGCCATATACAAAGAACTAGGATAAGCTCGATATAAAGGTGGGTTGACATTATGGATGGGCATCTTAGGAAGAAGAGAAAAGCTTGAATATCAATAGCTGTCTGAAGAAAAGCATCTCAACTCTTCATCCTGATGGAGACTTAAAATCAATTAGTGGCATAGTCAACAGATGGCAAAATTGAAGAGCGATGACATCATCGGCATTCGCTTGGCTGTCTGGGAGGTGAACCCCTAAGAGCGATGTGGAAATCATGTGTGGGTGCCTTGGGCAGCTGAGCGCGCCGCCTTCCGTCCAGTCCATTTCACTAGTAATGAGATCGACACTGTCTTCCTCAGGATTGGCGATTCATTTTGTTATCACTCCCACCATTTTCTGTGTGAAATGGTTCAGCATGTTTTATTAAAGCAATTGTATCCCATCTTCTCTTTAGCCTTTCATCCTGACAGGATTATTGGATTTCCCTCCCCATTCTCTCATTTTTTCTTTCTATGTACTGCAGGCCATCTGGTGCTAAGCTTTGAAGACTTCCCAAGTTCCTTAGATAAATGGATTTATCTAAATGACTAGCTGTAGAAATTAAAGTTAATAACTAACACATAGGAGCATACAGTGTTCCAGAGAGTAATGTGTTGTCTCTCACTAACTCATGCAAGAACTTTAATTTTTAATTTTCTCATTGTATGTGTGAGGGTTTGCCTACATCGATGTACACATACCATGTGGGTACCTAGCACCCAAGAATGCCAGAAGAGGGCATCTGTTCTCCTGGAACTAGAGTTACAGGCAGTTGAGAGTGACCTTATGGTTGCTGGAAACTGAACCCTGGTCAGAGCAAGAGCTCTTGACTGCTGAGCCATCTCTCCAGACCCCTGCATTAATTTAAAAAATCCCCTGGCGTTAGCTTTCAGTTCTCACGGTAGTCTATAAAGTCAGTTTTCTCATCCCCCTTGGGAATGAAGAAACTTGGGCAAGGATGTAGCAGGTGTGAGCAATGATGTCTTTGCCTTGGACATCTCCCATGTCTGCACCTGGCTGGTGATCTTGCCGTCCTGTGGTGAGGTGAAAAGGTGGTTAAAACTGCTTGCCAAGTTCAGGCCAGAGTGGGTGGGAGTTTGCCAGGTGTGAGGTGACTAAAAAGCCTTGTCGCTGCTCGCTGCCTGAATTCTCCAGCACATTTGTGGTTGTTTTTTCACTCTTCCCGAGCAAGAGCTTGGCGATGTCTGCGTGTTGTCAAGTACTCAAGGATTCACAGACTTCAATGACCGTCTCCAAATTCAGAATACTTTTCTCTTCCTGAATGTACAGCTTTCATGACTGGCCCACGGAATCCAGTTTTCAAAGAGTGGGCCTGTTTGTTGCCAGCTGTATGGTACCAATGGTGGATGGAATTATGTTTTCATACTTTGCTTCTTTTTGAGGTGCTAGAGGCCTGGTCTCGGAGAGAGGGGTTTAGCTTCCTGATGTGCAGAGCAAGTCCTTCCCAGCCTGGAAGACAGCCAAGTCACTAAATTGACATGTTCACTGAATAAATTGCATGTAACAACATGATGCCAGATTCGAGAGGATTTGATAACAGGGCTTTTGAACTCTGCAAATGCTACCCAAAAAAATGTTTCTGTTCTTAAGAAATGTTTGATAAATTGTTAAATAAAAGACTGTGTGAGGACGTGTGCCCTCAATTCAGTTTCCACCGCATGTTTTATTGAATAGAAGATAATCGTGGCAGCAGGCTGTATGTCAGCTGATTCCCTGTGAGGTATCACTGGTGGCTGAGCCCCTCTTGCCTTGGACACACCCCCACAAATGCTTAGAACATCTCTGAATTTAGGTGCTGACTGATTGATTGGTTGCTGTTTAATTCTGGAGCCATTTTCAGTCTTTTACTCCTGCAAATTCACGCTGCAGCTCCCCGACACCCCAAGCTGGACATTGTGCTCTATCTGCTTCTTTATCTGATGCCAGCTCCACAGACCCTGTTCTGTGGTGTTTTGGTGCTTCTTCTGGGCTTGTGGAGGTCCCGCACATTCTCTTAGCTGTGTTCAGAACTATTTAAAGTCATGTACAGTGACCAAAGAGAACTGTGCGATACCAGCTGCTTCTAGCAATAGCGAGTTCTTTTTTTGTCATTCTTAAAGCAGTTTTTCCCCCAGAACAACACACGTCTCACCAATTTTAAGGAGACCCTCATGTCTCCCTGGGGAGAAAAGCAACAATCTCATACTCTACATAGTTGAATGAAATCTCCAAATATCGTGAATCTTGAGGCCATTTTAACAATGCCATCATTCTCATGCAGGCTAATATAAATGAAATATTGTGACCCTCCTATCAAAATGGTGAAAACAAATTTAGTCTCTCCCTCCAGTGCCTTGTACTTCTTCCAGCTGTCATCACTTGCTTTTCACAGTCCACAGTTCTGATCCTACAAAGGGGTGGGTGTGTTCCACCGAGTGCTGATCAGCCTCTAGCAGTTAGCAGATGAGGCCCCAGACCAGAGAAACATTTGGGAGACTTCTCTTGTAATGAAACATCATTGTTGTCTTTAGGAGTCATGTACAGAAACGTCCCAAAAGTTTCAGAAGTTGCAGGAGGAAAGTTCAGGCCACTCTTTCTCTTGAACTCTGACACCAGCTGAAATTTCAGTACCCTCAGAACATCAGAGCAACTGATTGTGCCAAACTGTCTCTCCAACAGAGAGGCTGCTCCTATATGGAGCAGCAAACTGCAGCTACCCATCCATTTCTTCTGCCTTCAAAATAAGTGAAGCTGAGGCTGGACAGATGACCCAGTGGTTAAGAACCCTGGCTGCCCTTCTAGAGGACAGAGGTTCAGTTCCCAGCACCCACTGGGTGGCTCACAAATCCATTTGTAATTCCAATCTCAGAGGGATCTGATGCCCTTTCCGTGTATACTGCATACATGTGGTATGCATATGTACAAGCAGCAAAACACCCATAAAATAAAATGTAAACACTTTCAATAAAAATAAATAAGAAAAGGAGCAAGGCAAGAAGCTCTTAGCCTTTAGACCAAATGCCCCTCCACATCTCAAAGATGTCGCTGTCTCTTCTCCCCCTTCCACCTCCACCTCCACCCCAGGCCTCCTCTTCCCCGGGTCTTGGAAACATTTCCTCTGCCAGGGAGACATTTCTGTAACACCCATCACTGGCTATCTCTGTTGGTTCTACATCCATGGATGAATCAACTGCAGAGAAAAACTGCTCAGCTAAAAACTGTATCTGTGTCAAATCCTCCAAGTGGCCCTTGTCATTCCTCTCCAGACCTTGGCTGAAACAACTCTCCGAATAGCATTTATGTTGTATTACTAATATGTAGGTATCACCAAAATTCTGGGCATGATTTAAAGGGTATGGGAGCTTCTATGGGATGTGTGCAAATACCATGCTATTTTACACAAGGAACTTGACCGTCTCTCATCCTGTGTTGATGTCCACAAGGGGTCTGGGAACCACAAGTGACTGTGTTTTTATTCTCAACTCTCCTCCATCACTCACAGTCTGTTTCAGAAGAGCACTGCTCCCCCACACCCCATGAGCTCTCCAGTGAATGCTTGTAATAGCATACTGTTATACATGTAAGCAAAGCATGTGTGTGTGCACATGGGGGTACAGTTTGTGTAGTTCCCCTCATTGCAGGGTGTCTGAATGGCAGACTGTGTAGATCCTGACTAAAGAGATAGCTTTTCCACATCCATTTCCAGGCGATTGCTTTTTAAGGTCACCCACTGAAAGGCTCGTCTAACGCAGATGGAGGCCTTAGGATTGGCTGGCGAGCCTGGATGGCAAGTGGGTCCATCCATTTTTCATGAAGTTATAATTAACACGATATCTGTCTCCCACAGGTTCAGCCTTTGGGAATGAAGAGCAGCCACCTCTGAAGCCAGCTCCACCTTCTAAGGACACACCTAAGGGAACTGGCCGGGCGGCCCCTACACCTTCCTCCAATGCAGCAACACCACGCAGGAGTTTACTTCCGGCACCAAAATCCACTTCCATGCCTGCTGGTAAGACCTTCTGCCTCCCAGGGGCATCACAGTGGAATGCCCTTTGTGCATAAATATGAAGTCTTTGAAAGCCCCTATGTACATCAGCCATTTAGAAGAGACGATGGAGGGGTGTTAAGGTCGTTCCAAGTTAATGATAATATGTCTGTTTTCAAAGCCCTTCAACAGAGTCATGTGTTTAAGCTCTCACAAAAACCTCTCGCTCCTCCCACTGTCTGGTAACTCTGAGTGACACCATTTTGGTTTCACAAAGCAAGAGTCAAGCTATTTTTAAGAAGACTGGCACTTGGCTAGGGGGAAGGAAGCCTTTGCTCTCGAACCCCTTTGAAGGGCTTTGGAGCAAGCTCAGCCTGGGCCTCAGAACTCAGTGGGGAACTGTTGCATTCTGTTGGCTGAAACCCACAAAACTGGGCAGGTCCCAGCAGATTGGCAGCTTAAAGTCCCAGCTGTGGCTCCAGAGCTACAGTTGTGTCTGTGAAAGAAAGGGTGACCCACTCCAGTTATAACATACAGTAAACCTAGAGGGGACTGAAATATCACATCCATTTGACACAAAACTCCAGAAGTGTGGCACATGCTATCTACCAATGACAGCCTTCCTCAGGCATTCCTGGCAAGAACATAAAATATTCCACTGCTCTCAAGAGGACTTAGCAGTCTACAGATCATAAATGCATGTATTGTTTGATGTCCCAGTGCTGGTTCTAGAAATCTTCCCCAAAAGCAGATTAACAAAAATCCAGTACACTTGAGGGAATTCATTGCATTGATGTTTAGCATTGAAGAAGACTGAAAACACCTCACCTGCCTGTTCATAAGAACTGCATGAATGCGCGTCCAGGATGCACTGCAGTATGGCTGTCCTAAGATGCAGGATTCTCTCTCAATAGGGATATGTTATATTATTTATGTGCTTATACTAAGAGAAGAAATAGAAAAATAAGCTATGAGTTTTTAAAAGATTATCCGTGGGGGATAAAGAGAGATTTAGGAGGAAGAATCGAAATTGAAGGCAATGACAGTATTTGGACACTTGTTTTTTTTGTGCTTGACCTAAAAATCATCTGAATATTGAGCATAGTTGTATATGGATGCCAAGTCTGGAAAGAGCCAATCTGAACAGTCCTGCAGAAGCTGGACGTGGTATGCATAGCTTTCATCCCAGTGCTCAAGAGGCAGAGGCAGAGGCAGAGGCAGATGGATCTCTGTGAATTTGAAGCAAGCTGGGGAGAATTAACTAATGGATCAATGAAGACATGAATGAGTAAATAAACTGTGAAGCCTATGTGGTAGAACCGTGGAAATGAACGATTCCAGGTGACTTACCTAGGCCCAATGATTTGGCATGCTTCCCTGCTTGGATATTCCCTAGGTTCAGAAAGATTCCAGCAGGGATGCCTTAACTTGTTGTGGGTGGTCTATCCTGTTGGTGGTAGTGCTGCATCGCTGCAATCGTCCTGATTGTCCAAGTTTGTGTGCCGCAGGACAAGACAATGTAAGGGCATCGTGGTTAACACAGGAACTTACACAGTGGATCTTTAAGAAGAGGTATCTGCTCAGTTCACTGGAAACTTTTAAGTAACAAAAGCAACAGTAGTGATCCCAGATTGTATCAGAATCTGTTTACCATTTAAAATAGGCAGGAGTGAGCTAGCAAGGTAGCTCAGTTGATCAGTTGCTTGCCATACATGCATGAGAACCTGAGTTTGATCCCTGAAAACCATGTAAAACAGCTGGACATGTTGGTGCCTGCTTGTAATCACAGCACTGAGGAGGAGATGGGCAGATCTTGGGGGCTCTGATGGCCAGCCAGCCTGATGTGTGAGCTCCAGGCCAAGGTGAGACTATCCCAAAAGAGAAGGTGGGTGACATTCAGAAAGATACCTGGAGTTGACCTCTAGTCTCCATATGCATGTACACACACACACACAAACACACACAACAACCAACACACAA